AGAGAGAGAGAGGAAAAAAAAAAAAAAAAAAAAAAGGAGTTTTCTAGCCATGGATGTAGAGAGATAGAGAGAGGCTACCGCATGTTCACACGTGTATGCAGCAAACCACGTGGTTCCATTCCACACTACTCTTCTCTGGGACATGATCGTCACGCTCGGTTCTTCGCACAATCACCAAACTCGCACAACCTGTTTGTCCCCGTTTGCGAGAATCGTTGGCCACCCGAAACTGCACTGTGATACTCTGGTCGTTAGTGGAGCACATGTCCACACGTGCATCCTGCAAACCATGCTCCATTCTTCATACGATCACCCAACTCGCACAGCCCGTCTATCCTCGTTTGCGCAAGTCGTTGCTCAACCGAAACAGCATCGTATACGTGTCCTCACAGCGTCACCTCACTCGCCATCCACATGACAAGGATCTCAACCGACCCATCACCGAGCTCGCACAACCCGTTTGTCCCCTCGCATTGCCCGTTTGTCTCTGCTGCTAGGAGTTGGTCGCCAGCCGAATGTCCAATCCACAGCTCCAGCCCTTCCTCTGAATCATCTAGACCCTTCCACATCCGAGGGGCGTCTAGATCGCACAAGGTCCAACGCTGCCAATACAGAAACAGCGATACATCTTCCAAGGTTTTAAAGGGAGAGTCATTTTCATTTTGCACATTCAGGAGCCCCGACACGTGTTGTCAAAACACGATAGAAAATGACGGCACATCTTCCCAGTTCCTAGGGGAAGATTCATTCCCAGACCCACCACTGTTCCTTGGAAGGCAATGCGCGTAAGAAAAAAAAAGTACACGCGAATGGTGGTTTCTGCACGTCAAAACAAAATGTAAACACAAGTGGCGATTTCTGTTGGGCCCACTCCCCCATGTCCCGACCATTTTTCCAACACTGCGAATCAGCCCTCACGGGAACGTCACGCGATACCCGCTTTGCTGTTTAGAAAGAGTATAGAAATGTATCACAGAACTGCTACCTGTCTACTGCGAACCCTGGGAAGTTCTCAAGGTGATTGGGGATACTGATGACCCATCATGCAAAACAAATGTGCCCCCCCACCTCAAAACATATCCTGTCTTTCATGCCTCCAAACTACTGCCATATGTAGAACGCCACGACCTTCCCGACATACCATCTATGTTTCCTCCTTCGACGGATGGTGGCTATGAAGTTGACAATATTTTTGAACATGGATACTTTTCTACAGGTGGCAGAGGAAGGCCACAGAAGCAGTTCAAGGTAAAGTTTAAGTCTCTACCGCCATCTGAAGCTTGACGTTTTAGCAAAAAAGAGCAAGAGCTTTTACCTACTGCTCCTAATTTTGTCTATGCATATGAGTGTGGATTAAAAAAGAACTAAAGTTTAAAGAATTTCTGTAATGGAACTCGAAAACTGAGCCGCAAGGAATGCAATAACCAGCTCAAATATGCCTATGTCGCAGGCCAAGGGGAGACCACCCGCGGGCTACAGACCGGCCTCAAGGCCCGACGTTCAATTGTGTAAAACATAGCCCCTGGAAACGTTGTCAACTGTAAATCGGAATATCGAGCCTCACGAGTCAAAGTCTTCACGGAGCCAGTCCAAGCTGATCAGACACACACACTTGGTTGTACGCAGGTATCCAGGCAGCATTTGGTCCAAGTGGAAGTCTGTAACTGTACGAGATCCAGGCCGTCGGCTGTGAGTCAATTTCAGCCTCCGTACGTGAGCGACCAGAGGCTGGTCGATGGCATCAACATTATTTATTGACCCAGCCCCTGGGGGTCAACATTCAGTCTTGCACTTGCTGCTTGACGATGGCACGACGCTGGCTTGACGCTAGCTTGACGCTGGCTTGACGCTGGCAAGACGCTGGCACTACGCTGGCATTGTGCGACGACGACGCGAGACTGCTGCTTTGCATCTGGTGCCGTTCTGCTTCTGGGCGCCAGCAGTCTTCTTGGATGCTGACGTGGCACTTGCCACGCTGTCTTTGGCATTGCTGATGTGGCGCATGCCACACTGTCTTCGGCACAGATTGGGGATGCGACAAGGAGGGAGTTCAGGAACTGTGGGATTGATCGAGTAAGAAGGACAGGGAAACTTTCCTGTTGATGCTGTCGATATTGCATGCTGCAGAGACGTCATCATGGAAGATATGTGCCTACGCAGCACTATGCTGTGATCAGATGTTGTCAAAGTTCAAACTCGTTTCTGGGATACTGTTTGCTAACGTGGACGTGGGGAGACGCCCGGAGAAGGAGTGGGATTGAAGGAGTTCTATCTACGCGGACATTGATGGATTCCCCCTCCTATCCATTTCGTCGTACGGTTACGAGACATTGTATTTCAGATCACATTTCATGATTATTGGAGACATTTATCAGCGCTGAGATATCTTTCGTATTTTGACACTTGACAAGTTTCCTCCTGACTTGGTTCATTACACTTCTCTCTGTATCGCGCCAATTTTAACGGATTTATGCATGTGACAGTTCTTCTGGTGCTAACGTCTTTGAGAAACAACTATTTAACAATGGCAGATGTGGAGGTCTGGTCTACTACATGGCCACCGCTCAGTGCATTGTTCTCTTCATTTGCTTTGATAATAAACTTGGCATTCAGTGAGCGCGGATGGTCTGTACAGTCCTCGCGCAATAGCCCCTAACTTCGTTGTTTTCATCTAATTCCGTCAATCAGGATTTGAGCTCATGCTCTGTTTATCAACAGTTACCCTGCGTGTACCATCCGGTGACATGGCAGAAGGCGCCGAATCCCCTCCTTCCATGATCCCCTTTTGCGGTTCTTTCACAACTTGGAAGGGACTCCGAAGTGCTGGTGGTTTCACTGTCGATGGCAGACTCCTCCATTATTGCAAAGCTCCCGTCTGACCGTTGACACCGAGCTTTCATCCATAAACTACACAACAACCATAGATGGGTGGCAGTAATGCTTCTGTCGAGAAATTCTAACAGCCGGTGGAAGATGCTTCCATCCATGCACTAAGACCATTTTGATGCCCACACTTCCCCCTCACGACATGAAAACCATTGATCGCAAATTCACAATCCTTCAGTCCACAATCCGTAAACAAAGGTGCCAATGCTCTACGTAGCTCCACATACGCCTACACAGCGCATACACATACGTACTCCGGCGGACACGTATGCGTCATCAACTTATGTTTTCTTTACATCCATAGATCTCCTCGTGCTTCGTTCAAAAGTGGCCCTCTCTCTGTGTTTCAACCTTCTTTTAGTTTCACAATCAAAGCCCGATGAGCATAGTAAATTTTATGTGTCTGCCGCTATGTATCTATCTCACAACAGCCAGCAATCGCATTCTTGCACGCATATTCCAGAAGCACACAATCTCTGCTACCTGATTCTCTCATTGCATAAAACTCTCTCATACCTGTGTGACAATGGATATCGGCGAGTACTCATGCCCATCTGAGCAGACGCCAGATCTTGCATGTGCTGTGTACTCTGGAAGACGCCAACCATTGTATGGTCGGTCAACAATCAATAAGCAGCAGCAGTCATGGCTTTGCTTCGGCATCCATCTCAGTGCCCCTGCTACACATGATCCTTATTAGCGCACATCCAAAACACTCCCACAACCAGACAAAGCACACCCCACTGATCAGACAATGCACACCCCACTGATCCGATGGCCAGACTTGATGGAAGTGGTTCTTTAACTTCTTTTCTTTTCTTTTTTTTTTTTCATCCTTGATCAGGGGCCATGCTAATCTTCTCCGTACCGTTCCACTATTAACGGATGGAATCCGAAAAGCTGGCCCGAAACACCTTCATACCCATGAGATTGCCACTCACAACCACATAAACTGGCAGAAGCACGAACCTACCCATACAATCGAATTTGCAAAAGGCGCCCCCGAGCACACTTTCATACACAGGCGATCGGATTTGGAAAAGGGGCTCTGAAGCGCACTTTCATACACAGGGGACTACCACTCGCAGCGACGCAAACTGCCAGAAGAGCCAAACCCACACATTGACTGGAATCGGAAAAGGTGCCTGTCCCAGGAAGCTTCCACTCACAGCCACATAAACTGACAGAAGCAAGCTTCCACTCACAGCCACATAAACTGACAGAAGCAATATCCCCCCATACAGTATTTCAATGCGAGACGTTGCCAGTAATGAAAAGATAAATATTGATGATGATGATGATGATAGTGATTGAATGCACAAACACACACATGCCTGTAGTGGAAATCATGGTTAAGAGTCCAGCATGCACTTGCATACCAGACAGACTGAAGAAGAAGTGATAAGGAAGAGGGCGGATTCTCGCAGTTGTTGTGGACAATTTGATATTAAGGAACCCGCAACCCTCCAGAAATTCCTCGACATTAGTTTCTAAATCAGTCAGTAATTATAACGACTCCTTCAGCTTGCGTCTCCATTAATTTGTCCATTCAGACTTGGGCAGTGGGATGAAGGAGGAGCCTCTTTCTTGGATCGTACGAGAACACCACCTAGTCTGCAATCAGCGCCATCGTGCCCTGATTTCACTGGATTGTCAGGAGATACTGTGTCTTCGTCCTCTGGTACAGTTCTCGCATCTTTCTCACACGGACTGTCATTTGCAGAAAGGGCTTCCGGTTGCAGATCTTCTCCAGCAATCTTACCGTCAACGTCTTCTCGAGGTGGACTGTTCACTTCTGCACTGGTTGATTCTCTGAGGCAAGCACTGCCCTCATTTGTCCGTATAGCACAGGCTGGGGAGACATCAACACCTCTCTCATTGCCAAAGCTTCGAGTACCCGGTGACTGAATCTCTTTTGCAGCACCAAGTAAGTCTTCTCTCTCTATTTGTCTGTCACCAGTGATCGCCTCACCGATCGGCTCCTCGTGTTCATGAACACAATTAACTGGAGTCCATTCTGCATCTAACTCTGGCGGTCCCCGGCTGGTGGCGGGAGTAGCATCATTTCCGCCGATGCAGAATTTCAAGCATACCCCTGCATTCATATCGTCCTGTACTTTGCCATTCTGCTCCGCAGACCCATCGTTGTCCCTACTGTGTCCTCCAACTGCATCACCTAACTCACCTCTGCTAGCATCGCAATCATCATCAACGTCATCATCGTCGTCGTCATCGTCGTCGTCGTCACTTCCATATGCAACCAGTCCCTCCCAAAGAGATGGTCCTCTAGTGTCAGACGCAACTTTCCCATCCGCATCACCCCCTCCCTCCATTCGCAAGCTCGCGCCTGCTACCTCTCCCCTTTCCTGCATGACCCCAGCTTGATGCTCTTCATCCTTCCCTGTCTCTGTTCCCTCCCCACATCCTTCCCTCTTTCTACAGCGCTCTGCGCCCTCAGCATCACCACCCTCGCCATGTTTTCTCTTCGCTCGCTTCTCCACAACACGCACTCTCTGCGCAACCAATGCTTTCTGAGATGCAGAATTCTGCGCCAGAGGACTTGGCGCCCACGAAGCCAGTGGTGCACTCGGGCTAACATCGCTAGCCCCGCCTCCCTGCTTATTGGTAGATGTAGAATCCCCAGCTCGTCTCTCTCCTCGCCCTGGAGCTGAATGGCTGTTCCACCTCCCACCTGGTGGACCACGTCCTGCCGTATTACCACCGACTCCCGCAGCCACAGGGAAACCTCTCCCACGAGAGACGGCCCATGAAGATCTTCCTCCAATTCCTCCTCCTCCTCTCCCCCTTCCAAGGCCATCCCATGGACCAGTCCCCCCAGGAACCTGACCAATCGTGAGACCCGGAGCATTTGATATACCAGGGAAAGCTCTGGCCGCACCTGGTCCTGCACCAATAGCCACACCCAAGAGCCCTCCCGAGCGCACTGCAAGAATTAGCTGCCTATGTTCTTCTCTCTCCACCTCAACGGCCTTCACAAATGGGTCCGTACAATACTTTGAGATATGGCCCTTCTGACCACACTTGTGGCAGGAAACGTTCTTGCAATTTCTCTGCAGATGGCCGACTTCTCCGCACCTCATGCACGTGAGACCCTCCGCGCACTCCCACGCCATGTGACCCCTGCCATTGCAGCGAAAGCATGTGTGCAAACTGCAGTCTCTTGCCAGGTGCCCGGCCCTTCCACAGCGATGGCATGCGCCACTTGATCCTTGACTGTTCATCATCTCTTCATGCAAGTGCCTACGTCACCTCAACCCATGCACCAACACTGCAGCCTACCTTATCCCAACTCGATCTCTTCCACCAAACTGGTTAAACAGCAAAATAAGCATCCAATGACCACAATCCCTTCACCTCCCCTCCCCTCCTCCCTTTTCCTGAACAGTGTAGCCAAGCCCACACCACAGCACTGTCCACTGGCGAATGAACACGTGATGCAGCAGACCAACCAAGACACTTGTGCGGTGAACCATCCACAAGTGTTTCAAGAGACCGTCAGATGCTTCCCATTCAAAACCTCAAGTCATATAACAATCATCTCTCTCTCTCTCTCTCTCTCTCTCTCTCTCTCTCTCTCTCTCT